GCGGGGGTAAAAAACACCTCACTACACTTAACAAGCTGGATCTATTTGTCACCTTTGTCCGTACTCCTGGTTTCTAAAACTGTGGGCTGTGACCCAACACGGGCCGGGTCCTGGAGGTTCCCCTTGTGACAAGAATAGCCCCATGATTTCATGAATGAGGGACCTGCTGGGTGAGAGACGCCATTTCTCTGTCAACTCTGGATCCGGAAAACTTGCTGGACTTTGTTTTGAAGATAAACAAGACAGAGGACTTTGATGTGAGGTATTTAAAAAGGAGATTAACTGGCAATTAAAATGAAAAAGATTACATTTTGCAAGGCTACCCCTTTACTTGGAACTGACGGCACTGCTACAGTGAGTAAGTGTGAGAGGGACAGCAGCAGCAGCAGCAAGTGTCATCTGGTCTTCCAACTTGGGGAGGGCTTTGGAGTTTAAAATGGTGTGAATATGATAGCCATAGCCATCGGTATAGCTTATGCAAGTGGAGATCTGTCTGCACTATTGAAAGTTGACAGTTCAGAGGCACTAATCTGACAAAGGGACGGTGTAAATCAACAACTGCACTACGATTTTGGATATTAACAAACAAAACTATTGGAGTAAAAAGGGGAACTTTGCCTGAGTCTGGGGAGGCTGCATGAGACAAAGATTTGGGAGGACGCACAGGCAAAAGGGCAAGAGGGAGCCACCAAGGAGGTGAGTGACGATTTACCCACGGAGGGGTAAAAAAAAATGACTGTGGTGTCCCAGGAGAACCACGACGACAGTGTGGTCGTAACTCCTTTGTTACAAGATGCTGCTGACCTGGAACCAGCGGACCAGGAGTGCAGCGAGAGGGTGATCATCAACATCTCAGGTCTGCGCTTTGAGACGCAGTTAAAGACCCTCTCCCGCTTCCCGACCACGCTCCTGGGAGATCCGCGTAAACGGATGCGTTTCTTTGACCCGCTGAGAAATGAATACTTCTTTGACAGGAACAGGCCGAGCTTTGATGCCGTCCTCTATTATTACCAGTCAGGAGGGCGGCTCCGGAGGCCCGTCAGTGTACCTGTGGATATTTTCCTGGAAGAAATTAAATTTTACGAACTTGATGAAGAGGTCATAGACCTTTTCAGAGAAGATGAGGGCTTAATGAGGGAAGAGGAGCGCCCGCTGCCCAGCAATGTGTATCAACGCCAGTTATGGCTCCTGTTTGAGTATCCAGAGAGCTCAGGACCTGCACGGATTAACGCCATTGTGTCGGTTATGGTTATTTTAATATCCATAATTATATTCTGCTTGGAGACTTTACCCGAGTTTAGAGAAGTCACCGCACTGGACAATCCCGTCAATGGAAGTGCGCACGGCCAAGAGCCCAGTCCGTTCACAGATCCGTTTTTCATGGTGGAGACGCTTTGCATCGTGTGGTTCTCCTTTGAATTCACCATGAGATTCTTCTCCTGTCCCAGTAAAGCAGCTTTCTTTAAAAACATCATGAACCTGATCGATGTTGTGGCCATAGCTCCTTATTTTATCACCCTGGGCCTTGATCTCGCGGAGCATCAGGGCAGCAGTCAGCAGGCTGCGTCTCTGGCCATACTGAGGGTCATCCGTCTGGTCCGTGTTTTCAGGATTTTTAAACTTTCCAGGCACTCCAAGGGCCTCCAGATTCTCGGCCAAACGCTTCACGCAAGCCTCAGGGAGCTGGGACTGCTCATATTCTTTCTGATCATTGGAGTTGTTTTATTCTCCAGCTCGGTTTATTTTGCAGAAGCAGAAGACCCCGACTCTGGATTTTCAAGCATACCTGATGCGTTTTGGTGGGCTGTAGTGACAATGACTACGGTTGGATATGGAGACATGTGTCCCTCCACCATTGGGGGGAAGTTTGTTGGATCTTTGTGCGCCATCGCCGGAGTGCTAACCATAGCTTTACCTGTCCCTGTCATAGTGTCAAACTTCAATTATTTCTACCACAGAGAAAATGAGGATGATGACAATATTCAGTATGTACATGTGACATGCGGACAGCCGCAGCCATCATTGGGTGAATGTGATTCAAACAAAAGCACCCAGTCGCTCTCAAAACCGGCGTCCTATCAGGAAAGCGACGACTTGGAAACGTTGACATATCCAAACGTATGCCAAGCGGAGACATACACGGGGAAACTGACAGTTGTATGAAATACACCCCTGGAAGACGGTTTTATTTCTGGTGAGTCGTCTTACAGTGCGCATACAGTTTAGGCTCCTCTGTGTCGGATGCAGCAGGTGTTTTACGCACGTTTCACGCAGTGGTTTCCAAACGTAGAGCCTCACACATTCATGGTAAAACCTCCACCAAAGTGAGGACTGGCCTAAATTCCCTGAACATAGAGGGTGAAATCAATAAGTGGGAAGTGTGCACCAAAGTGTCATGGGACCCCTCATATGAAAACATTTGAAACCCTTGGGTTACGCACGGAATATTTGAAATACCATCAGCATTAGTTGAGCCATATGACAACACACTTCTCAGTCTAAGAAGGGAAACTGAAATACCAAATAAAAAACGGAGACGTTTTCTTATCTTTAATTTTTAAGTTAAGGAACTTTTTTTAAAAGCCTCTAAATGGTGATTACACACGAACCAAACTTAACTGTTCTACTGTTAAGAAAATCACGCAGCCTATTCTCAAGTACCAACGCTCTGAGTACAGTAGAAGCCGTGCGTAAAAGCGCAGAGGAGCGCACGGCGACAAACAGACACATACACCAAGACAATTATCTCCCTGTCACTCAAGAGTTAGTCGAGACTGTGTGTTTATAGAGGTCTTGTGTGTGTCTGTGTCGGGTCATGTGTGTGTGTGTGTGTGTGTGTTGTAACCTACGTCGCTGCTCCAATTTCTACTAGTAGCCATAGTAGTTTGTTTGCGTCTGTGTGGACTGTAAGATTATTGGCTCTATCCCTCAGTCTACTATGGTTTTCCATAGTAACGAGATCAGCTTTCAATATCTCGTTAACACAGGATAGTTTTCATAGATCTGAGAAACAGAAAACATCTCCCACTTCATTTTTCTTTGGAGCTTGCTTCTGGATAAATCTAAACTGAACAAATGAGCTCTGAGCGCCACTCTGTGGATGACTGATATCCCTGCAGACACCACTTCTGGCTCTGCTGTGTGGCAAAATTAACACTTTAACTTTACCTCTGCACTGTTGCAGCTGACCTTAAACTGATTTCAGGCTTAAGCCCCCCGAGATCACGCTCTTTGCCTGCACCCGGATGCTTGTGATGGTTAACTAAGCTCAGCAAAGTCCCGACTGCTTCCTCTCAACTCCAAATGTTAATCACAGTGAGTTTTGTTTTCTGCTTACTTGCAGGAGGCAGACGATCATGAGAAGCTTGTTTCTCCCTCAGAGTGGCAACAAATTTCAAGCGTGGGATTCTCTTCTTCTCCAGAGTATTGGATCATTTTCTCACGGGTATTCGTGCATTGCCAGTGTTGTAGCTTTCGTGGAGGAGACGCCTGGACAAGGTTCAGTCTGCCTTAATGGACATTGTGTGTATCATCAGTAGAAGAAACGACATTCTTTTGTGTAGGCTTTATTAATGACCACGCTTTCTTTGTATAAAATTGTTTATACTGCGTTTTTTTTTTTGTAATTATGAATTTCCTCCTTTCTTATGCATCTTTGAATGCAGTTGCAACTTGCCTCAGTGTTGTTACAAACATTCAGATTGCATTGCAGCTCGCTGACAACAACATGGCTCGAGACGTTACAATGCAATGACTGCATGACGCGAATGCATTATGAACTTTAAATGTATTAAATATTTATTTTTCTAATTTAAACATGTATGTGAACTTAACTTAAACCTTTTTATAAATAAATTATGAATCAGAAAATAAACAGCTGGTTATTTCTCCACTCTCAGTATCACAGAAAGCAAAGAAGAACTCATTTAAAGATACAAATCCATGCCTATTAATTAGTGTGATACACTGTATATTAGTTTTGGTGCTGAATGATAGAAAAAAGCGCAGAACTAGACACTATGTTGTCTTGCCACAAAACCAATTAACTTAATAAAACGTCATAGTGATAAATGTAGCAGGGTTTATTTGGCTGGAGGCACATTTTAACAAATTAGAAGAAGTCTGATGACCTGATTTTGTGTTGAATGAGTGTTTTTAGAAAGTCAGTGCTTTGATCCTCACTTTAAGGCCCTGAAAAACAAAACCACCTACACACAGGCCCTAAAAGTCATCAATAGACAAATTATTTGCTTATTTGTTATGATACTGTGTCGTAATATATATTCTGGTGTTTGTTTTGGGGTTTGTACAAGTAGTCCTCTATGAGATGAATCAATCATCTGCGCTGTCCGTGGTGCTGAAACTGATCCTCCGTCCTCTGCAGAGCGTTATGCTAAAAATTCCTGGTTTCGTCTCAGATGTGTTTGACTCCTGCAGCCGTGTGCAGCCACGAGTGGAGGCTGGGACATATTATAACTTAGCAGCATAAAGTGTAAGATACTGGGTGTGTGCCGTGCACATCCTGGATGTAAGCACACTGATGCGATGAGGGCTGCAAACACACTGTGGACGGTTTTGTCTCATTGCTCACTTGTAAAATGATGAGGACTGCAAAATCTAATTTGGTCCCACATAGACTCAGATATTGACACATCCAAGTAACGCCCGTGTAAATCCCGGAGTGATGGAATGAAAAGCTCATTTAATCCCTCACCACATCAATGACATGCTAGTTTTCTAAATTATTTAACAAATGTAACACAGCAAATTCAGAGGTTTTGTTACCAAGTGTCATTTGCAGTCTGATTGCGCCAGTGCTGGCACACAAGCGGTCTTGTTTTTGTGGTGTGTGGAGAACTTCTCACGGCGTGCTTTAGTAGAGCCGGTCTGCATTGCGTCGAAACCCTCCAACTCCTCCTCCTCCTCCTTCTCCTGCTGCCCTCCCCCTCCCCTCTCCTCTCCTCTGTTCTCCCTCACCTCCCCTGCACTTGCATGTAAAAATGCACAGCAAAAACTTGCTTGACATTGTGGAGAAAACATTTGGACGTCGCTGCTGCTACTTGACTGTCATCTGTTTCATTTTTTGATTTCTTTTATTCTGCCCTGCGAGCCGCGCTGCAACACATTCTGCCCGTCATCTTGTCTACTCGCAAAAAAAAAAAAGCAAGCAGATTTCTGCTGATGCAGTGATGTCTAGAAATGTCAAGGGCTCGCTTATTGCCCCTTAATGTATCTCCCCCTCCTGAATTGCAGCGCAAGATTTTCTCCTGCGGTATACTGTAAGCTGTTCACACCACCGTGCCGCCGCGCCAGCAGCTCCCGACGCTGCAGCTCTGCCTTTCTCTCTTTTCGCTCCTTTTTCCATCTCAGGCTTTCCTCATTAGACTCTCCTGATTTTCATCTCGTTTCTAAAGATTTGAGGACACTTTGCGACGGACACAGTTAGGATGGCGATGAGCACAGTGAGGCTCTTTTTGGTGGTAGGTGCAATGTAAAGTTACCACATGACACCCACTGCTGCCCTGTCGTTGGATGATTTTACTCGAGGATAAGACGCATTCAAGACCTTTCAAGATCAGCCCACGGTAAGCCTCCAAACTGCTGACTTATACAATAATGACATCGGTTAGATGCTTTGCTTCTCGACAGCTGCTGTTGACGTGAAGAGAACAACCACACTGTGGTGCATTCTGCATCTTCTGTAGGCCTGTGGGCTGTGTACAAGTAGAAACATCAGTTGGTGTAATATCAGTATCAGATGTTATGCGTCACATCGTAATTCAGGCTGGTTAGAGTGGCGTAGGATAAATCATTCCCATGCTCCTTTAAGACCTAGAACCGCAGCATTTCTACGTTTAACTAAAGTAAACATCCCTATAGAAATATAATGAGTGTATAAGAGAAACAGGAGAAAAAATAACCATAGGAATGTAGTAAATGCCATGTGGTGCAGGAAGATCATCATGTACTCACGACTGAGTACTACAGACAGATTGTAGGTGTCTATCTTATAGGATTCTTCCTTGGGGTGGTGTTTTTTTATCTTTACTACTGTGTAACTGCACTAATTGCAGGCTGAGAGAAGTAAATAAATAAATAAATAAATAAACTGCAAAAAATGCTGAGCCAGCAAATATCTTGGCTGTTTGATCCCATTATTTCCTCCTCTCCCTCTCCTCTCCCTCTCCTCTCTCTGGGTGACAGAGGCAGCAGTAACAACAGCAGCAGATGCACTGGAGAGCAGCAATGGTCAAGTCAGCGAGAACCGCAGTGGAGCCGCACTGAGGCAAAGCAGCCAACCAGCCCCCTTGTATCTGGGGACGTCTCCAACAATTTAAGGGGTGTGGGAAGCTGAGGAGTGGAAAAATTTGCCCCGAACCTGAATGCCTGCTAAGTTAGACTAACCGGGATCCCAACACAACTCCTCCCCCCTCCACCTCCACCTCCTCCTCCTTCCCAAAATGACCGTGGTAGCAGGAGATAACATGGACGACACCTCGGCTGTCCCAGGCCACCCTCAGGACACCTACCCCCCTGACCACAACGACCACGAATGCTGCGAGAGGGTGGTCATCAACATAGCCGGTCTCCGGTTTGAGACGCAGTTGAAAACTCTCTCCCAGTTTCCAGAGACGTTGCTTGGCAACCCCAAAAAGCGGATGCGGTACTTTGACCCTCTGAGAAATGAGTACTTCTTCGACAGGAACCGCCCCAGCTTTGACGCCATCCTCTATTACTACCAGAGTGGGGGTCGACTGAGAAGACCAGTAAATGTCCCTTTGGATATGTTCTCAGAAGAGATCAAATTTTATGAGCTGGGAGTGGATGCCATGGAGAAGTTTCGTGAGGATGAGGGTTTCATCAGGGAGGAAGAGCGTCCTTTACCTGAGAAGGAGTTCCAGCGTCAGATATGGCTCCTGTTTGAGCACCCGGAAAGCTCAGGCACTGCGAGAGGGATCGCCATAGTGTCTGTGATGGTAATCCTGATTTCAATAGTCATATTTTGTTTAGAGACTTTACCACAGCTGAAAGAGGACCCAAGGGGTCGAATGGTGACAGTTGGTAACACTACTGTTTATTATAAGCCAAATATCCTCACTGACCCCTTCTTCGTCATTGAGACTCTCTGTATAATCTGGTTCTCCTTTGAGTTGATTGTACGCTTTCTGGCGTGCCCGAGCAAACCGGCCTTCTTCAAGAACATGATGAACATGATTGACATAGTGGCTATCATCCCCTACTTCATCACACTCGGCACCGAGCTGGCCGAAGACCCAGAAAAGGAGGGAGTGGGGGAGCAGGCAACATCTCTGGCCATCCTCAGGGTGATCCGTCTGGTCAGGGTGTTTAGGATCTTCAAGCTGTCACGACACTCCAAAGGACTGCAGATTTTGGGGCAGACCCTCAAGGCCAGCATGCGAGAGCTGGGATTGCTGATCTTCTTTCTGTTCATTGGAGTCATCTTGTTCTCCAGCGCTGTCTACTTTGCTGAGGCAGAGGAGCAAGATTCCTACTTTGGCAGCATCCCAGATGCATTCTGGTGGGCTGTTGTGTCTATGACAACTGTGGGCTATGGGGACATGGTCCCCGTCACTATAGGAGGCAAGATTGTAGGATCTCTGTGCGCCATCGCCGGAGTGTTGACAATTGCGCTCCCAGTGCCTGTCATTGTGTCCAACTTCAACTACTTCTACCACAGGGAGACCGAGGGAGAAGAGCAGGCCCAGCTGCTCAACGTCAGCAACCCCAACATCCCCTCTGAAACCAACTCCAGCCGCCGTAGTTCGTCCACCGTCAGCAAGTCAGAGTACATGGAGATTGATGGAGACATAAACAATAGCATCGACAACTTTAGGGAGGCAAACCTCAGAACTGGCAATTGCACTATAGCCAACCAAAACTGTGTAAATAAAAGCAAGCTGCTTACAGATGTTTAGACACTAGGTAAGAACTTTGGGATCTCTGTGGGACTGTCATATGTGGAGTAGACCATCAGTTAGGAATGCTTCATTTACCTCCTCAAAGCGCTCTATGGCATTAGGCCTACAACTACGCTCAGCTATATAGAAAGGAAAATCAAAGATCTTAGAGTATATGACAGGTAGATAGAATAATTAATTCTTCTGATCCTACAAATATATAGGTACATCAAAAAGAAAACATCAACTATTACGCATCTACACGGCTCCCTGGAGGACGCAGAGCACACACTGTCTAATCAGATGACGGCGTGATAATTAAAATCTTATGCATGGAGTACAGATAACATTTCAGCAAGTTGCACAATGCACCAGAAAAGTCTGCAGAGACATGCAAGCACCTGCAGCCAAAGTGGTAAGCGCCAAGAAGTTAGGTGACCCCCTCCTCGCTCCCTCCTCCTCCTCTTCTCTCCTCCCTCCCTACAAAGGATATCTACTATTCAGCAAAGCACCTTATAGGAGGAAGACTGATCTCTCTTGTTTGGATGTAAACAGATGGTGATCTACTCGCTTCACGGACATCCGCAATGCTGCTGTTTTCCAGCAGATGCTGTAATTGTGATATCACCAAGTGATTCAATGCCATGCCCTTTAGATGCAACACAGCACAACGTTAAAGTGAGCTTCACACGAGCATGATTAGAGACTTTCCATTTTGATATCGGCATGCATGAGACATATCTCACATAATGGAAAGGATGTTCTTTTGAATACCTGCCTCCATCCTCCCTCCCCTCCTTGTCATCTGTTTTCATACGAGTGCACTGGATGAGTTTCTTAATTTGAAATGCTAATCATTTAGAAGTATAGAAATTGAATGTTAAAACTTAAGGGAACAGTACATAAATGAGATCATAGCATGAAAAAAGTAACCTGCATTATGGTCTATCGACTAAGGTACTTTTGTATCCTGGTATATTTAATGCATGACATGAGTATTCAGCTTGTTGCAATTCAGGCACTCTGCAGTGCCCTATTGTCAGGGAAACTAAGGAAATCAAATTCTGGATGTTTCTGAATTGCGATCAAATATATCCAAACCCACCTTGAGGATGCAGAGTTTCTAATTAAAAGTAGTTGAAGAAACTGAATAAATATTATCAAAAATGCATATAATTATAATAAGCACCAATTACAGTATTACGTCAATAGTGCAGTGCATGGACCTTCTTTGAACAAGAAAAGTTAACATATCATTAGTCATGCTTCCATTTCCATGTCAAATTTGAGTACATATTGGTTTGAAATCCACTACGGAAAAGGACTGACACCAAATTTCACTTCATATTAAGAGAGAATTATTCTGACATTAGTTGCTAGTGCCTTTATCCCTTTCACCAACAGGACCAGTGAAAGTGCCTCTGTGTACAATGGGATTTGCGAGGTTGAGCAGAGCTGGTTTACCTTCTGTTCTCGTGTTGATACACTGTTGGTTATGATGTTAATGATGCCCGATGAGCAAGGTTGAAACAGCAGGTGATTGTGGTCAAAAAAACAAAACAAAAAAAAAAAACAAAAACAAAAGATGATCCATGGCTGTTTTGCACAACCCAGTTTTCATGCTGTCACGCACTTAATTATGCCCTTAAGCAGCGATGTATTGTACTCTGCATGTTTACCAATCCAATTCAAAAGGGAATATCCATAGGTTTTTAACATAGTTTATTTATGTCTCGTTTCTGTTCATGCACCGTGCATCCTTTCAGGGTCTCTACCTCAGTGAGGTCATTGCAAACTTGCTGCAGAGCTGCAAGCTTCAATGCAGGGCTTCCTATACCATAATGCAAAATGGAACCTTAAGTGTAAACTGCAGTCATGCAACATTGAATGTGAGAGTCCCCAAGTATAGCCTTTACACAAGCACTTAGGACAAATAGTGTACCACAATCCCGCTCCTTTTGTTCACTTAAAGCTACGCACAATCAAACATTCATATGTAGAGAGTTTGTAGAGACTGCTTGGCTCTCCTAACGGGATGAGATTGACTGTTTTATATGTTGGTTTCTTTGAGACGACGGTATCAGACGTTACTGTCGCGTCACAGAAACACACTTCAACGTGTCTGAACACACACACACGTGTATGAGACAGTGGAGTTATGGTTCTTAAGTCTGTCATCTTGCGATTTTTGGGCATTATGATGCACGGCGAAGTGCAGCCCGCCTTTTTGCACAATCATTTTGTTCTGCTGCTTGATTTGTTTTCTTTGTCACTGTGCTTGCTTCAATGTGTACAATATGTTTCTCCGCATATTGTTCCAGCCAGGCTAACTGCAGACAGATTTGGACAAATTGTAACGACTACTTGAAAATCTCCAGCTACTGTACATCAATCTACACTCAGTACTGACATGAATTCAAATGATAGTAAGACTTTGCAATGTACTGTATTTATTTTATGTTATTTAGCTTTCTCCTGACAACTTCCTGTAAACTAAAAAAAACTCCACTGCAGTGCTACTTGAATGTCATACAGTTGTTTCTGTTGGTGCAATGGCTATCCTTTGTGGTGCTAGTACAGGACTACCATTGTTGTCTTGTTACCATCACACGTTATTTCAGACAAGACGTCTCCTCATTCTCTAGTTCCTGTTTTGTTATCGGTGGCTGGTTGGATAGATTAGGGCACTGTTTGTCATTTTATTTGGAACTGATCTTTGTACTGTACCGCTGAAGAGTGTCTGCCTCAGGTGAGGTAAAGAAAAAAAAATCAAGAGCCTTGCTAGATGTCAGTAACTCATCATGAGAGCAAAAAAGATACACATTCGTGTCAGGGATCTTCAATTTGTATAGGGTTTCTCATACAGAAGGACATCAATAATACCCAGTACCATATATTATATTACTATATATAGATACAAGGAAATTAAAGTAGTCTCATTAATGCAGCTATCAGGAAATCGCTTTGTTCACGAGTTTCTTGTGCGACTGATGCTTGAAAGTAGTGATGTGTGCAACATGTCCTGCAGGGAAGTGAGGTGAAGAAAAATACAAATGATGACCCCTCACAGGAGCAGTGCTGTGAGGGCATGTGTGGATGGTGCTATGCATTTACCCAACAGAAACATGCATTCTTAACAGCAATAGAATAACAGATAAACTGTTTCTTAGATGCTTTTTTGTAAAAAAAAAAAAAAAAAAAAAAATCTATTTTGAATGTTGGAGAAACTGCGATCACTTGACAGATAACTCACAACAGGGCTGTTTATGTACCAACCTTTTACCCTCTGTTCTGTGATTTTGTAAGGCCAGCGTGGTCAGACGTAGAGGCTCACGTTTTACTGAGAGAAACCCGTGACGTATCCAAATATAGGCTTTGTTATAGCGGCAGTCCCCCATTAACCACCTAGACTGGAGTTGGTTGTGCAGTCAGGAACAAAAGGCTGCTGAAGGGTTCAGTCGAACCTTTAACACAGTCCCAAAGGAACGGCCCATAATGCACTTAGAGAGGATCTATCATCAGTTTGACCGGACTGATCAGCCGTGTGAGAGAAAGTCAGAGAAGGTGCCTAAATTGTTTTACATATTCATTTGTTTAGCTTAGATGTTAATGCTTCTGCAAACAAACACGAGTGAGAAGATCTAAAAAAAAATATGACGACATTAATCTAATTAAAGTATAAGAAAAAAATGAGAACAAAATGCAATTTAGCTACAATAACATAGAGAAAAGTAACCACTATATACCACAATTACCTATGAAAAACAACTTTATGTGTCTTTATTTTCCTTTTTTGTTTTGGTGGCACTGTAACATGACCGATTTAGGAAGAACATGCCATATAGTGGAATATCAAAGACAATATGTTCCTCTGGCAAGCCATGAAAATGAATCTACTGTATTATGATCAATTGCTATACACTAAATGATATGGACAAGAAGTGTACTATTATATAAAAAAACTATGGTTTGTCTTTTTGGTTTTAAGAGAAAAAAAAAAATCATTCAAACACCATGTTCACATTTCTCCAATCTCCACTGCTGAACCTACTGCTATAATGTATCTCTACAGAAAACCTACTAATCGCAAAAAACTGCATGGTCGATGGAAGACTGCATGAGTTTTGCCTTTCAAAACTGTGGATCAACTATAATACAGTTGCATCATTTTAAAAAAGAAACCCTTGCTTTCATCCGCACCAAGGCTTCCTGTAAGGCCCTGTTCAGAAACACTGTCGTGAAACGTGTCCTCTGCTGGATTTCTTAAAAAGCACCTTAGCGCTGACCTCATCACTAAGACGGCGTTGGGTATCCGAGCCGTGCTCAACGTCCGCGTGTGATTTTCAGGTTGTGCTCGCTAGGCTCTGAATGTGAGTGAGGACATAAAGGGCTAGTTTCTCAAACTTTATCTCTATTCTAAGACTGAAATGCTCTTTCAAGTGACATTTTGCCCATTCTTATCTCAGTCTAGACTGTAGTGATACTGTGTTGCTGGAAACGTGCCCGTCATGTCTAAACAGGGCCTGTGTCACACACACCCTCCTCTGTACTACATTGGTTTTAAGGCATTCTTGTTTGCTAAAGGTGTCGGACTGCTTTCTGCCTGCTGAGGAGGCACTGAACAGGATCAAATGTCGGGATGTTGTGTACCTCACTCGCCAAAGGTGACTGTCGACGAGAAGATCTTGTTTGTGTTAGAAGTGTCATGGCTGAGTTTGTCTTTCCTGTCAAGAATGCACATTTAATTGCTTGTAGGGAAGTTTTGGAGCAAAGCGCAAAAAAAATGGACTGTTGAACTCTTCTGCTCTTCTTTTCATCCACAAGCAAACCAAACTCTGATTGTGTTATCTAATCCAGCCGTCATTGTCATGTTGTGTTTACCAAGGATTATGCTACAATGTGTTCAGTTTGTCAGATGATGACAAAGGCATGGTCTGTGATCTATGCAAGGGTTATTTGTTTTTTTTCTTATATCACTTATGATTTCATCTTACATTAACTTCAATAAATTTTTAAGGATCTGCTGGTGTATGCTCATTTTGGCTCGGGGTGGGGGTGTAGCTGTATCTGCACAATGGCAGGGGTCGCAAAGTGGGGCTGATCACTCAGGGCCCTAGAATGAAAGTTTGGTTTTGCAAATTTTTATTTCTAAGTAGTTAGTTCCATAACTAAATTAAAATCAGCTTAATAAATCAGCTGAAAGACTAAACTTAGTGGAAGCTCTCTGAGGCACATCTCACCACTTAAAGGTCCAGTGTGTAAGACTTAGGCGGATTTATTGGCATCTAGTGTTCAGGGGACTTTTACAGGGAGCCAAATTATCCACAGGTGTCTCTTTCGCTTTAAAACAAAGGGACCTAGGGTCTCATTTAAAAACAGTGCGCAGGATTCATACCAGAAATGTACGTACAGACAAAAGCCAAAAATGGCGTGCGCCAAAAAATATTTGACAATTTCAGGCTTCCACCTCACCATCCGCGTCGCCAATTTCCTGTCTCTGAAATGTTCGTAAGCATGGGTCAAAGTCTCTCCCATCAAGTCTGCTTTTATAGATCACAACTTTTGCATGGGAAGTGGCGTACGCCTCTTTCAGGCCTCGTTTTGTGCGTACGCAATGTTTATAAATGAGACCCCCGGTGATTAACAGTTTCACGTTACAAATCAGTGTTTCTTCTGCACTGTCCATCACATCACAGACGAGCACCTGCTAGCATCTGATGTGTACTCAGCTTATTTCTGATTAAGATGTTTCGGAGGTTTTTGCCATGAGAAAAATTATCCGCAGAGGCTACTTCCTTTCCAAAACAAACAGACCAGGGGTCTCATTTAAACATTGCGTACGCACAAAAAGAGACCTGAAAGAGGAGTACGTCACTTCCCACAAAGAAGTTGTGATCTATTCAAACAGAGAAACTTTGACCCATGCTTATGAAGATTTTGGAGACAGGAAATTGGCAACGCAGATGGTGAGGTGGAAGCCTGATTGTAGAAATCATCAAATATTTTTTGGCGCACGCCATATCTGGCTTTTGTCCGTACGTACATTTTTGGTATGGATCCTACGCATTGTTTTATAAATGAGACCCCAGGTGATTAAAACCGGTAAAAACCCTAAAAGAAGCAGTTTCGTGTTCCGAATCAGTGTTTCTCCAACGTAGTTCGGCTCTTTGGAGATGGGTCGCTTGCCCAGCACCTGCTAATCTGTGCTCACCTTTCTTCTCTGATAACTGAAGATCCAGAAGTTTATAAGATTTTTGGCGGGAGCTGAATTATCCTCAGAGGTCTCTTCCTCTTCAAAACAAACGGACATGGTGATTGAAACTGGTAAAAACACAGAATAAAGCAGTTTCCCGTAACAAAGCATTGTTTTGTGGATGTTGCTTGTCGTGGAAATGCTGCTAATTACAGTGGAAGAAAGAAAACATACATATTATATTCCATTTCAGCCAGCATATCCCCCTTAATCCTACAAATTGGACCTTAAAGGTACACGATGGTTTAGTCCACCCCTGCACCAGGAGTCGTCTCTAAATGCAGCTAGAGCCGAGTGACTGCTTATGCTGCTGGAGCACCAATGTACACTGTCATGTCTTTACCCAAGAAAGGGACATTGGGGTTTCAGAACAGAAAGGAAATAAAGCCAACTTACTTTATTAAAAAAAAATTAATAGGTGCGTGAATCAAGAGAGGAGGGGCAGGGGGCCCACAGAGAATACTTACGCCCAGAATTTGGTGCTACGTGCTGCACAACGGACCTGCACAAAAACCGACATAAATCATCTGCAGAAATGTGCTGCAGTGTGCATTGTTGCAGAGCTCAAGGTCTCGATCTAACGTGTCCTACTTCTGTACTAGAGTACCCTCTCACTGAAGCCATTAGCGGTGATTCACAGGGCTAAGGTAATGGTTCCACACTAATCCTCCTGTCCCAGGGGAAACCCGCTTACCTCTGTCATTCCCTGCGAGTTGTTACACACCTCGGGGGCCTGAGGAGCTCCCCTGCACTCTCTACCTCCTCCTGCAGTCACATGGACACTTGAAACCATCAGAGCGTGACTCTTGAGATGTTGTGCATTTGCTAAGTGTGGGATTATGGAGTCATCAGGCTGAAACTAACAATTATGTTATTTATGAGCTATAAAAATAGCAAAATAGGCCCTTTACAATATCCTTAAGCCCAACGTGACGTCTTCAAGCTACTAAAACCTAAAGAATGATCAGTGTCTTATCACATACGGCAAAGAAAAACTGCAAATCCTCACATTTGAGAAGCTGCTACAAAAGAATATTGCTTTAAATATTAATTAAATACAAATCAAGTATCAAAATAGTTGCCTCGCAGTAAATTGGAGACACTGAGTTAAGCTTTTGCCATCCGTTTACTTAAAATATAACCTCTTCAAGCATACTCAAAAGCATCTTGTTTCTAAGAGTGTGATTTTGACAACATGTCAGATTAAACCTCATCATGAGGAGGTCTTTTTTATATTAAATACGTGCAGCTGTCGAGGGCAGTAACCCTAAAACAGCGAACAAACAAACACATCCAATCATAGAACAGTCGAGCGATGAAACTGAAAGAAGTGGGCGCAATTTTCGGGGTGTGAAAAATGATTCATTCCCACTTCTGTGCTGTGATGGTGTGAAGCTGAATATTTGTGGAGAACATTGGACAGCAGAGGCATCACGCTGAATGCTGCAGCTCATCTGTCTCTCTATCTGTCCATCTGTCTCTCTCAGTCTCTCTCTCGGTGTCCCTCTTGGTGTCTCTGTCCGCCGCAGGCTCTCTGTTGTCTGCAGACCGGCTCTGTGTTTGCTGTTTGGTGACTTTAACAGAAGTGAGCCTCCTCTTCTTCCTTGTCCTCTGCATTGCCCTCAGGAAATGCAGCACTCTTCACTCTGCAGGCAGGCAACAGTAAGGGTGGGGTGAGCTGGCGCTGGTCCCACTCTTCTCGCACACACATACTCTCGTTCTCTCCTCTGTCAGTCTTTGTTTCTCACTCTCTCCCTCTCCTGAGTGCCGTAAAGCTCCACTGGACTGTAACAGCACACAGCATCATACGGAAAAGGAGGAGCTCAGTCATAGTAAAGGAGATCACACCTGGTTTTATCAGTTTTCTCTCTCTGATGTTACTGATCTTCTACATGCCTACACATACACATGACTGTCAGACCACAGTCTAC